CTTGTTCTGCCCGCTGGTTTTCCTTCTTTGCATTCCCCCTATCCTGCTCTCTGGCATTGCTTCCCTGCATTCTCCCCATCCTCCTCTTTGGCGTTCCCTGCATTCCCCCTCCATCCTGCTCTCTGGCATTCCCGGCGCCCCCCTATCCTGCTCTCTGGCATTCCTTCCCTGCGCTGCCCCCATCCTGCCCACTGGTTTCCTTCCCCGTGCTCTCCCCCTGTCCTGCTCTCTGGCATTCCCTGCGCTCCTCTATCCCTCTGCTCCCTCGTCGCTGATCCCGATCTCCTCCTCTCCCGGCAGCTCCGGAGGGAGGAGGCGGTGTCCCGGAGTTTGGCGTCCCCCGGCCGGAACAACTCCCGGTTATTGCCCTATCTCTCCTAAAGCTCCAGCGGAGCCGCTGCTGGATCCCTCGGCAGCTCTACGGAGCGATCCATGGGATGGGTGCTGATGGATGTACCTGTGGGCGTTCAGCCCCCGGGGGCACGTACAGAGCGATTAAACCGTATTCAAAAATTACAGTGAAGTTCTGAGCTTGTCTTTGAAGGGAAAATGTTATTTTCCCTTCTACCCACCCTCCTGGCTGTGTGTCAGCACAAGGGAACTTCAGTGTTTCGACCTATAGCGTTTCAGACTTGGTGATCTTAAGGGTCTTTTCTAACCTTAACAATCCAAGGATTCTCTGTTCCCAGTATCACTTTTTCTTTAAATTGTCCACTCTGCTTATACTGAGCAAGATAATAATTTTACAGTTGGATACTGTACAAAAAAGGTCTGTTTTCATGCTTGTTTTCCCACAGTACTAATGTAATATTACTTCAAAACTTTTTATTTTAATATTAATGTCTTCCATTTTAATTTTGACTGCTTATATATATATGTATATTATGCTGCTAACATATATATATATTTATTTTCTTGTATTACAGTTCTAACATATGGTTTTTAATGCTCCACCTGAACAACTGAGATGAGACTGAAGACTTCGCTTTTAAAGGAACCAAAACATATCCTTTGTCACAGAAAAAAACACAGAACACCATCTTCATTCTGAATGGAATTCTTTTCCAGAAAATATTTCCTTATCATAGAAGTTACAGTAAAATGCAGGTGGCTTTTTGTTTCTTTTTCTTTTCTTCCCCTTGTCCTTCAGTGCAGCCTTTAAGCACAATATTTTAAGAAATATTAAATATTTTTTGAGTAATGACTTCACTTCAGAAGCTCTCAATATCTTGCTAGGAAGTTCTTGAGTTTCCCTTCTTATTTGTGGTGATAAATTAAAAGCTTTCCCAGACAGCAAATAAGAGCAGTGATTTATCTACCTGCACGTAGCAGACATAAACAAAACTGGAATTTTCCTATTAATATATTGGATGTATAGCAATTTATAATTTATGTGATAATAAAGCAACACTTTTGAATGACAGTTGGCTGTTTTGCCCTTGCATTGTGCACTCAGACCCTTCTAGAGGTGTAACCCAACATTTCAGCTGTGTTTCCATAACTTTGCATCATCACAGTAATTATATTTTTACATGAGAGTTTGCTTTATTTTTGGGTGAATTCCTGTCAGCTCTTTTCTTGCCACAAAAGAGCAAAAAAAGAAAGAAGACTCATAGTGTTTATGCAAAGCATTCCATGTAATCTCATGAAAATCATCTTCCTGTATCGTTCCTTCAGTTTTGCGTAGCTCGGATATTTTTGAAGCTTATTTTTACTGCTTAAAATGTCCCTGTTCCTTAATTGAACTGAACATAAGGAATTGGTGAGCTGTGTGGGATGGACAACAGCTGATGAGCTCTACTCCTGCAGTGATGATCACCAGATCATGAAATGGAACCCTTTAACAAGCGAGACAACTCGGGTGGTCAAACTTCCAGACGAGATTTATCCCATAGATCTCCACTGGTTTCCCAGGAGCATCGGTGGGAAGAAGCAATCCCATGCTGAGAGCTTTGTCCTGACGAGTTCTGATGGTAAGTCAGCCGAAAATATTTATCATTTCACACCACTTTGTGTTTCTGTCGCTCAAATACACGGGACGTTATTTTGGGAGCAGGAAGGTTTCAGGATTCCTTGGGAGGGGTGTTTTCCCTGCTCCTCCAAATCAAAAAATTGATTTTGCACACAGCCACATTTTTCTTCCTGCATGAATTTTCCTGCAGCAGCTTATTCCTGCAATTTTCCTGCAACAGCTAATTCCTCGGTGCTAAGAATTCCTGGAAACTCACTGAATCCAATGGAAAAGAAGTCTAATGTCTTTACAGGGTTGCACTAATTCCTGGTTGAACTCCAGATGTTTGTGAAATTAGAGCAAATGTAAATTTAATCCTCTTGGGTTTTCTTCTGAGATGCTTCTCTTGGGGGACATTGTTCTTTTACTTCCTACTTACATTGATCTCGTTGCTGTTTTTTTACAAAAGCAAAGAACATGCTCAGCTTTAAATTGCAAATTAAGCACAAATCATAAGTGATTAGACCTATTTTGTCACTTTTGATTGATGGTTTTACGTTGGGTCAGCATTTAAGAGTCTGAGAAATGAAATGAAGAAAACATACATGTTTTATATTCCGTATTTGAATGGGGTGTGAATCTCCCACTTGCAATTCCTCCAAAACTGGAGAGTCACTTTGAGATCGAGGACAGTTCTGCCTTCAGTACTTAATAAAAATAAAGGAGCAGTACCTTACAAACCTGAGCTGTAAAATAAGATTAAATCACTCCTACCTACTGCAGGCATGTGGCTAAAATTTTCCCTTTCCTGTGTTTAAGGCAGTCAGTTGTGATTTGAAACTCTCTGTTCCCTCGGTGTCAAGCTGAAGAACAGAAATCCGTGGGAACAAACGTGGCTTTTGGAGGAACCTGCACGTGTGAATGCAGTGACAAAAATCATTTCACTGTCATCACTTAGAAATTCAGGTGTTGGAAAAGTAAAGAAGCTGCAGAAGTATAGAATGCTGGCCATGAAAACTCGATCTGGCCCTGTTCTGCAGGAGGGTTGTGATACAGTTTTAAGTGGTGATCACGTTTTTTCCAGATGAATTCTCGGTGCCTGCTTTTATATGTAACATATTCTTCCCTGCAAGGCTACAATTTGCTGTTTCCCTATTTGAAAAGTGCCTTGTGAAAGAAGCAGGAACTTGTGGAGTGGGAAAAGATGCAAAAAAATTGGTAAAGGAGTTGGATGTTTCCCTGTATAAGAGGATTTTATCCCAGATTCCTGATAATTTGGCCTCACCAAAACCTTCAGGTCCTTGCCAGCTTCCTCTTCTTCCATCTGAATTTAGTTTTTATGTGTTGAGGTGTTGCTTAAATTTAATTTTAATTTCCCAGGGATTCTGCCTTGGTCAGTGAAAGCTGTTGGTTCAATATATAAAATGCCAGGGAATTCTTTATATCCTTAAAAATGTAATGGCTTGGAAGTGCTCACCACTTACTGCTGAGCACTGTAGGTGATGGCATGAGAACATTCATGTGATAAGAGGTTTAATTATTGTGCAATGAGAAAGGTCTGGGCTACAGATGGAACAAGTACAGAAAATAAACAGAAAATAAACCATGTTTTAGTGTATTAATTTAAGGCCATTTTTGCAATTTAATTGGAGGAAACACCATTGAATTCCTCTGAATCCAGTTATTACTTGTCCTTGGAAAATGAGATTCTCAGACCTGAGAGATGATCTATAGGTGATACATTAATTAGATAAGATGTAATTTATAACTATACAGTAATGGAATGCTTTAAATTAACCCCCTGGAAGTGTCCAAAGCCGGGTTGGATGGGACTTGGAGCAACCTGGGATAGTGGAAGGTGCCCTTGGATAGTGGAATGAGGTGAGATTAAGGTCCCTTCCAACCCAAACCATCCTGGAATTCTATGATATTTTAAATATATCAATAAACTGATTTATCCAAACCATACTCTTCCCATCAGTGTCAAAAATCCTTTCCTTGGAAACCTTGCTCTGCCACAGATTTTGGATGTTGGTGCCTTTTTGTTCAGGTGCCTAAAAGTAAAAAGCAAAGTGTGATTGTATCAATTTGCCTGATCCTGTGGAGAGCCCTGGTGTTTGTTTATGGTTATTTAGTGACAGATCCACCAGAATGCCTTTCCTTGGATTTAGTTTGGCTTTATTTGTTATTTTTGGGATGTTCTGTTTTGTCTCTACGTTCTGGGCGCTCTGGAACATCCTTGTAGTGCTTCACTGGCTGGCAGGTTAAATCAAATAATATTAAAATAATTGGATTTTAGAGTAGTTAATTGGAATCCCTGGGCTGGTTTAAGCCATGCATTTGTTCTGCCACATGTTTCCAAGCCCTCTTTGTCTGCTCTTTGGTCTAATTTAAATTTGGTCTTCCTGGATTTCAGCAACATCCCTCATTTGGAAAGAGACACTTCCTCCTGCTTCTGTTGAAATCATTAATAGCTTTGTTTTTGGCTGCTCTGAGTTTCCATCACAGCTCCAGAAGGCAGGAATATTTCCCTCACCCGTGGTTGGATTGTTCCAGCTTTTCCAGTATTTTGGGATTGAGTAGATTCAGATGGTTTTTGGATCTTAAAAAAAAAAAAAAAATACCACCAAAACCAACCCAAGGACACTCTGGGCTGCACGTGGAGCTCCCAGACACTGCAACAACATCAGGCACTTGTGTCCTTAGAGGGATTTGCAAACTTTTGAGGGACATAAGAAAAAGAAATAGGTAAAACAGAAGTTACAGATAAAGAAGGGAAATAAATACAACACTGGGGCTGGTTTGCAGGTTGTTCTGCAAGAGCTCGTTTGTTTGGGGTGATCAGAGCTGGGAACAATTTTATGTTTTATTCTTTTTCTTCTTGCTGGTTTCTTGTTTTGTCTGTTTTTAACAGAAGGTAACATCATTACAGCAATATTATATGATTTAATCAATAATTTGATATAGTAATTTAGTGTACACAATTTAATTCTGTATTTAATAATTTTGTGTATTATTTTATATATATAAAATCATACACACATATATAAATTACATGTGTTTTTTTAATGTCTTTAGGGAAGTTCCACTTGATTTCCAAGTTAGGAAGAGTGGAGAAAAGTGTGGAAGCACATTGTGGGGCTGTGCTTGCAGGAAGGTGGAATTATGAAGGAACAGCACTGGTCACAGGTGAGCATTTGTACATTAATGAAGTGGTTTGAAACCTCAAATAGCAGAAGAACTCTCTGAAAATCAAACCTTCTGGTTTTTTAATACAGTATTTCATAGTTTAAATTGTAGTTGCATTGAATTTAAATGAATAAAACTGAGTGTCTTCAGTGTTCACACACTGCTTGAAATTCTGTGAGAAGGGGGAAAATGGAAACACAAACTCAACAATAGAAATGAAGTTACTTTTTTTGGTCTTAATTATCACTGAGGCTGTTATCATCTTGTTTAATAGAAGTTAGTTTTACACTAATTAATTCTATTTTAGATTAACATTGTCTATTTTAATTAATAGAAGATCTGCTAAAAACATTCCTCTTTTTTAGTGGTCCTATTTATTAGATGTCACCCTTTTTACTTTAAAGTAAATGTTTTTAATATCAGAGTGCTTGGATGGTTTTGTGGCTGTTCTGAACTTCATAAAGGAGAATATTTGATTTATTTTTCTCTACCTTTTTCCAAAAAAGGCTACTAAGTTGGTCCATTTCTATCCCTGCACATTTGGGAGTTTTTTAGCCAACAAAGTTTCAAAGCATCTTGAATATTCCTTTTTCTTCCTTAATTATCAGGAATGGTGTAATCACCTGCAGCCTGTGAGTGATCTCCCAATGTTTCCATCTCTACACCCTTTCTGTCCTAAATCTTTTTGATAATTAGTTGCTTTTTGGCATTTTTTGTCAAAAACTTGCATCTTGGTGTTCAGGGGAACTGATGAAACTCCCTGTGAGCAGCTCCTTGCTGGATTCCTGTTGGTGTCAGGATTCTCTGCAGCCTCCTGTTGATCTGGGACAGCTGATTCCTCTGGACAAATTCCAACTCAGTCCACAAGTACTGAAGATAATTTTGGAGCTGCTCATTTCCAGACTCAAGTCTGACTCTAAAAATGCTGCTTCAAGGAACTCTGTCTGGCTTGTTCCTCTGAAATCCCACAGGGAGAGAAATATTGTTCTTTTTAAAGGCAGATTTGCCTCAGGAAATTCTCCAAAGGAAAAGTCAAAACTGCCTTTTCAAAATTGCCTTTTGAACCCTTTATTTTGTTGTTTGTTTGTTTTTTTGTTTTGTTTTGAGACTGGATGACACTTCTTAGGAGTGTGGGAATTCATCACTATTTCCACTTTGAGATCATCAACTGCTCTCATACCACAGCTAGACTTTAAAGAGGAGCAAATCACTGATACTGCATCCCTCAAAATATTTTTGTGGCTGCATTTCCACAGCATCAAGTGTGCACAAACAAGATTTTAAAATTACCATTTATTTTGCATTTTTTTAAACACTTAAAAGCTACACTGGGCAGATCCAAAAACCTGAAACGTGGTAAGGAAATTACCTTTGAATGGAAGAATTCCATTAAGTTTCTGGGAGCACCTTTTTCCTCATTAATTGGATCTGGGAGGCTTAAATTGCAGGGCCAGAGCTGTACATTTTAAATATGAGAGCACACCAGGAAATCTGTGCTCTTAATCACAGAAGGGACTTGTTCACAGTAACAAAATCACCATCTTAAATACTTTTTCCTTTAATATATTTTCTATTTGCATGTTTGGAAGACTAAATAAAAGGTATGACCTGTAAGAAGACCTGGATTAATTTTAACTCGAGTGTTTCCTAGGTAGGAAGTTTGTTAGATTTAATTGTTGCACTGAATTTGATGATTTCTCTGCTCATTTTTCAGTGGGTGAAGATGGCCAAGTGAAAATCTGGTCTAAGAGTGGAATGCTGAGATCCACTTTAGCTCAGCAAGGTAAGATCATTTCCTTAAAATTCTATCAGAACTTTTTAATTTGGGTTGGTCTAAAATCCATTTAAACAACAGACCCTGAATCTGGCAGTGATGGTTTGGTGACAAGTCTTCAGGCCTAGAAAAACTTAATTAAAATTAAGTGTAAATTACAGTTGAACTGCATTTACTAAGGTCTTAGAAAATCTTATTTTAACAAAGAATTCTCCAAATGAAAAGTTTTATTGCAGTAATTTTAGACAGCAGCCTCAGTTCCACCCCAAGGATTTTCTGCTATTTCAGTGAAGGCACTTGAGCTAAATTTTGTTTTTCAGACTTCATACATGGAGCCCATGTGACATGCTGACATTTTTGAAGAAACCACATGCACCTGGGCTTGGGTTAAATGTCAACCCCTTATCTCTCTTTCTGAAACAAATTATCTAAATTCTTTCAACCTGTGGAAGGCATTTTAACCACAGGAGTGAATGTAAAGTGTATTTCAGTTCTTTTAAGGAAGTTCACAAGCAGATGTGATGTTTTTCACGCTTACAGTGTACAAAGATAAGCCAACTGAACTAGAATTTTTGAGAAAAAAATACAAACTGAAGCACACAATCTTCACTATTTTTCAGTTGATACGTTTTCAAGGGTTTTGTGCTTAATTGAGCTTATTTGAGATTCAATAGAGATTATAAAGGAGGAGTTATATTCTAGCTTGAAGTAGGAATTGTCACTGGTTTCTGAGTTTCTGGTGCAGTACAAAAGTGCAGTTGAGTCCCCATGGAATAACTGTCATCTCATATTTGTGTTTTTAAGATAAGCTCCCATGAGGCTCCAATACCCTTTAAATTGAATTTACAGAATGAGAATCCCACGGACTCCTTTGTGGGATAAGGGTAGGATTCTGCAGAAATGACATTTTTTTTTTAGGGGAGGTATAACATGTTTGAGCTCATTTTTCACTTCCTTTATCATTCCCATTGCACATATTCTTTTAACTCTTTGTATTAGAAATGTGTTTTCAGGCTCTCCTCTTTGGACGGTGCTCCACGTGCCTCTTCTGTCTTTGGATTTTATTCACTACAAAACCATGGACAGACATTTTCCCCTTCTTTAGCTTTTTCAGTGCTTCCATGGAGCATTCCAGCTGTGCATCCAAGCTGGTGGGACCCCATGGCCTCCCCTGCTGTAGTGTTGCTCTTATGGCTGTGTTTGTTCCTTGAGCCACTTCTTCATCCTTAAATTCTCCCAATATTCCTTTTGTTCCTCCTTCTTACACTGAACTGCTGTATTTGGGATTCCAGCTGAGACAATGCACTGATGTATTTGGATGAGGTAACTCTTTTTCATGGATCTCTTTGGTGTGTCTTGGTAACCCACAGGATTATCATGGAATCCCAGACTGTTTGGGGTTGGAAAGGACCTTAAAGATCATTTCATTC